CTGGAAAAAATGTGACAACATTGTATGATATGCAAATAACTAGATGCGTAGAAACAGAAAATATTATAGAAGCACAAAAAAAGAGGTCGCAGTTGGTGTTATAGTCTTCTAGACTTCTGGCCACCTAATTGCTAAGGGACAAAAGATCCTACATCTACTCCTTGTACTAAGTCTTTTGTTACACAAAGTTCAAAAAGCTCCGGTAAAATAGGAAATATACTAGAACATTTTCTTATATTCAGGGGCTTCATCTGTCACATTCTGCAAAATCATCAGATAAACAGTAATCTGCATTATATCCTAAAAGCTAGTTCTAAAGCATACACATAACTTGGCAAGGATGCTAGGATAGCAATGATGATTTTTCTTTTTCCCCACCTAAAAATCTCAAGACAAAGAAAACGAGAACAGGAAATAGAACAATAAATTAAAGATAAGAGACTCAACAGGTTTAGTACTTACAGTGAGGAGCTTATATAGAATAGATTCCACATCTTCCCCAACATATCCTGCCTGCAGACAAAAGTACTATCATTGACTGAATGTTTCGGAACAAGTATACCATTATATGGAAACCCACAGCTTCAGGACTCTTATCAAGGTGACAACTATCTCTAATGGGAAATTTACCAATATGTACAGTTCGGCTAAACTTATTTACCAATATGGCTGAAATATACAAAACCTGTACACTGATTATGTATTTTATATGTATAGTATACTTAGATATACAAAACCTATAATTTGTTGGCTATTTTATAGTCTAGATCACCCAAAGGCATTGGACTGTAATTATCCCCATTTTTACTGATAACATCACGTGGTTTCTGCTACTCTACTTCTATGAAAGACTTCAGCGATTAAGCTCTGGAAACAGGGTAAGCAAGGAATAGTAAACATGCTCAGACCAAATTAACCTAGCCACCAGGAAATTCTAGTTATTTAATCTCAAGATAGACTAAATTAACAGTGGCATCTCATTTCATGACGGCCTAAAGTTCGGATACCAAATGTCATCGATTTATACACATGCTTAGGTGTCAATAGTCTTGGAATATCAAAATGAAGAACAGCCTTTCTATTTTTGTCTTCAGGCTCATAGTAATAACCCTCTGAAAAGTAGACTCATGAAGTTCCATAGTTCCAGAAAGCTGAACTATGAAATTTGGGTTTGCCTAATCGTCATGAGAATTGAGAGCAGCTATTCTTTATTCTCCATCTTCTTACAAGCTCTCACTACTTTCAACTTCTTTTCTCATCTTTCTCATTTCAGCTTCTAAGGAGAACCATTACCATAATTTTGTCCCAAAAAAGTTCCTCACATGCACCAATCTACTACATGGTCTTCAATGCCAACACTAGTGCTCAAAACACTTTCACCTTCAATAGATGAAGACAGATCTCCTACATTCTACATTTACACTGGATCAAACTCAAAACCAGCTCAGTTGTAGCTTCGAAAGAGCTAATTCAGATTTCTCACCTTGCACGGATTAACCCCGACCTCAAACAGACTATCTGCAAACGGTTTGCAAGGCTTATGGGATCTCCAATCTTCAAATTTCAAACAATTTAAGAACAACAACATACCCAGTATATTACAAGTGTGATCTGGGGAGAGTGGGGTGTTCCCAGACCTTATCCCTACCTTTGTGGGGTAGCTAGGTTGTTTCCAATATACCCACGGCTCAAGAAAATTTCAAACAACTTAACACACTATATATGTGCAAGAGTGACAAATATACAAGGATAGATTATGTATTGAAATCAGAAATTTGGATTTTAAGGACAGTGTTGACATATTTACATTTAAGGGAACAAGATTTAGAAAAATATAGATTCTATTAAAAGATTATTAAGCTGAGAGTTGTTTCCTATCTCTACCAAGGTGAAAAGGTAACAACATACCTGAGTTAGTGTCGTAGCATCTGCTATAACAAAGGGAACATTCACCAATCGAGCTAAGGTCTTGGCAAGTAAAGTTTTCCCTGTCCTTGATATGACACAAAATACTCAAGTGAAAAAGTAATTTTTATTAAATTAAGGATCACACTTTTAACGACATGATGACAATGTTAGAGCTCTATTCATTCACACCTCCCCCTCCAATGAAAAAAGCAGGGAGACAGGATAAGTTGATGGGCTAAAAGGATAAAAGATAAAAGGAGAACGACGCATTAAAATTACATAATCATAGTCAAAAAGCAAAATTTATGTGGCACCCTAATCATCACAGTTTTAGCTTTAATATACAAGTCAAAGTTATTTACATATCAGCCCACATGTATAGCTCTATGATATTATGAAGCAGAGAATGATCATTAGCTTGAGACCATCATATCACCAGTATAAGTAAATGGCACCTCACAGTGTCTTCAGAAAAATTTCACAATTAAAAAGAAAAAGAAAGCAGGAGAAAGGGGGAAAAAGTTTCTCTGTTGATGAATCTAAAGTTCCATACTTCAAAGTTCAAGGGCATGTTTATCTAAAATACTTCTTTACCACATTTTAGACCTCAAGAAGCGCGCAATGGACAATTGTAAAGATTACCTGAACCTGTTGGCCCCATTAAAAGGATGTTACTCTTCTCAAGCTCCACAGACTCATTTTCTATTCCATCTGTTTTTTCACTACTGTCATTTCCTGCAGGCCTTGGTACCACATTTAAACAATACATTAGAAGAATAGATAAGGTATAGGAATTTCCATCTCTGAGTTCCAATGGTCCAAATAGCTTCATCTTCCATGTCACATGGAGAAAACATAAAATACAGGGAAGGGGGTAGGTGAAAAAACCATCGGAATTATGCAGTGTTCAAAACTAACCACTTATGTGAAGAGTCATTATATATTCTCTTGTAATGATTATATACGGCGACAGACAGAACCTGCAATCACAAAATGATAAAGAAAGTCACTCTAGCAGCTCAAGAATAGTCTCTTTTTACTAGATCTCAATCACCCTTGGACACAAAATGAGCTCTTGTATTCACATTATAATCAATGAAGCAAGCATAAAAATCAAAGACTAGACTATCTTTATCTATGACTCAACGGGCATCCAGAATTATCAGTTCCAAAAGGTAGAATTTTAAAAAAGATTACCTTTTTAGCTCTCTCCTGTCCAATTACAAACTTATCAAGTCCTTTACACAGTTGCTTTGGTGTGGGAAATTGGGTACCCAAATTGGATCCACCCCAAGACCCATCTTTTGACCCAGAACTAAACCCACCTCCAGAACCCGAACCAGGACCTTCCCCTTCACCCACCTGAACAAACTTCACACCAGGACGAACCACAATCCCCTCACCAGGTGGTTGCCAAATCTCAGGAGGTTCCCCATAGTTACTAGACATACTAATTTTCTCCTTACTCTTCCTACTTGAATTCTGTGAATTCTTAAAATTATCATAACATCGGTCAACAAATTCACCACGAAACGATACAGACTTGAATAAAGAAGAACTATGACCAGAATTTGAGACCAAATTATCCCATTTGGTTCGATTACACAAATGGAAATTGGGTAAATGACCCGTGTGAAAATCATTGATGATAAAATATCTGAAGTGGGCAATAGCCATAGAGGCCGTATGTCTCGACGATTTCGATCTAAGTACAGCTGCCATATCGGCTTAGTTCAGTGGAAACTCAACGCCCCAACAAAGAAAAACAAGAAAACTAAGTAAAGATTCTTTCTTTTTATATGTCTGAACAAGATACAGATGATTATGTAATGAAATCTTCTAAAAGGGATGTGGGTATGGGTTACAATTTCAAGATTTGAGGTTTGTCGGAAGAGAGGAGACTTTTGTGGGGTTTGGGAGATGACCCATCAGACAAAGAAAACTGAAATTAAGAAATTCTTGTTTACAGAGGATTTTGGTAGTGGAGGAGGAATGAGGATTTTCTAGAGCAACACAGAAGAATTAAATTTTAATATCCAAAAGAGTGAAAGCAGCAAGCAAAGAAATGAAAGTTACTTTCAGGAATATCTACATGATGAAGTGTTGGGAAAAAAAATCTACAGGAAACAAGTAACGATGTCGTACTGTCACTCTTGGTTTCTTGATTTCTTGATTTCTTGTCATTCCTCTTGTTTTGTCTTTTTGGTATGTTAGGAGTGGGGGAGGGGTGAAAAAGGTAAAATATTGACTCTTGTAAAGTGAAATTTATAAAAAATCGAATTTAATTTAATTTTAAAAATTAGTTAAATTGACTATCGTAAACTGAAACATGACAAGTAAAAGTGAATGTTGTACTTTCACTCTTGGTTTCTTGATTTCTTGTCATTCCTCTTGTTTTATCACTCTCTTTTTGATGTGTGTGGGAATATTAACTCTCGTAAAGTAAAATTTATAAAAAAAAAATTAATTCAATTTAACTCTGAAAGAATAGTCAAACTACCTCTAATAAAGTGCAACTCGACAAGTAAAAATGAACAAAGAAAATATTACTCAATAACTTTGTCAGTCAAAATGGAGGAAGAGCAAAGCTCTAGATTCTATGTATTAGTTAAGGTATTGTAAAATTTTCCTAAGATTATATTACTCGATCCAATTGTAATTTTGATTGTAAAAAAGACAGAGGAAGAAAAAAAATTATTTCTGTTAAAATCTTATAACTTTCACTCACCTTAAAAAAATTGAGAATATTAGATAACTTGGTGAAGGATGGGGGATTTCGCTTCTCTCTCATTCAAAACCTCGAATGACTTTCATCTCACACTGCTCCTAAGTGATCAAAGAAAAAAGAACTCATTTTCTTTCTTTTTCATGTTGTTGAGCTGGAAATGTTTTCTTCTTTTGCTTTATGCTCAGTATTAAAACCCCACTGCCTTGACTAATCTGAAATCTCACTGAGTAAGACTCTCCCATAAAAGGAAAGTCCGGATTTTAACTCGAATCCTCTGGTGAAGGATGAGGGATCTCATCTGATCCCACCACACCTCTTATGGAGTTGGAACAATAATATCGTCTCTTTATTCTCTTGAATTTCCCTCCGCCAATAAAGTAAAATTTTGTACATCTAAAAGAATGCCTCAAGGGATTATTTTTGAGAGACGAAAAAAAGTATACAAAAACAGAAATGCCTCACAATCCAATCAAAAGATTTAGAATCAAATAAATATTCTCTAAAACTTCAAAATCTTCATATTTAACAAGAACAGCCTTCAGTCTTGGTTACTACAGCTGGTGGATCCCATATCCAGGCCTTCTGCAATAGAGCTCTCAGTTCCGGTAGCATGTTCTAGCTGTTGCAATTCATCACGAGATTGAGGTGCACTGCCAAATGAAATACAAAGTTACTCATTCCAGGAGTATGAAAATTAGAGAGTCAAGTTCCAACATGCCTCAGATCAACCATTTAACCGCGATATTGTGCAACAGAAATGCAGGGGCAAGGGATTTTTCAATTGTGTACATCAGTTCTCTAGTGACAACTTTTCCTTGGGACAAAGAGGCAGCAGCTAAAAAGACACACCAGCTCCAATAAGGGCCAAAATTTTCTAAGGGCAGGCCACTATGTCAAAGAAAAACTACCACTTTACTGACATTTGGGGAAAAAATCATTATATCTCAGAAGCAATAACACGGTAGTTGGGTCAACCGCCCCACCACAGGTCGACTTGTTCAGTAGATATTTATATTCACCCTTTTGAAAACATTAAACTTTGTCGATTGACATTCCTATCGCCCTAGAGGCCTAGACATTGTGGTTCCATCACCATGAGCTCGAGTCCATTTCAATTTAAGGTGTCCGCCTGGAGCTCCAACTGAAAGTTCTACATTATTATCAATTACTATCATTCAGGAGATGCTTGTGGCTTATAGTGTGACGTCTAATTTCACCTAAACTAGTTCAACTGTCTAAGTAGTGACTGATTAAATTTCTAATCCAGTTGGTCAAAGAAGTTGACGAAAGTAAAGCATTGGCTAAACTCGGATGGAAAAAGAAGTGCAGCCCGGTGCATTAAGCATCCTGCATTCACATAGGGTCCGGGGAAGAGCCACACCCCTAAAGGATGTGATGTAGGCAGCCTACCCTTTGGAAAGAGATCCACAGAAAAGAGACAAACTTTTGGGAAGAAATCCAGACAAAAGATTTAGAACTTTTTTTCTTGATGAAGTAGATTCAGTAGAAGGCATCAGGAAGATTCAAGGGTTACAAGAATAGAACATTTAAGCTCACAAAAAAAATTAGTAGCTTATTTCAAAAAATTTAGAACTTTTATCCGCACTGCCCTACTTCTCCAGTGTAATAATTTAGTTCATTTCTTCTAATCAGAATAAACTGACATCTTCATTTTTCATGAAATGTAAGTAGAAGAATAAACTGACATCCTTTGTCTTTTGGCAGTGTGATTACACCTGACATTCCAGAAACAGTTACAAGTTATATTGTTGACCTTTTACAGATAGTATTATTTTTATTTCTTTTTTGAAAATACTGGTGGGGCTAGCTTGCGTGCACCTAAGCCAATACACCAGGCAGCCTGTCCAGCCGACAAAGAACATATTACCAAGGCAATCCACATCACTAAGGCTGGAGCAGATGAGCTTCACACCTAGTGTGTAAGCTGACATTCAACTCAGGGATCTCCAGGCGGTTGTTTCTATCTGTAAAGGTTGACGACCATTACAGATAGTATCACTTAGACTTGTAACAATCACAAGAAAATCTAAGTATGCATTTTTATTCAATTTTGAGGAGACCTTTGAAAGATAAATCTGGAGGACATCTTTCTTCCGTGAAAACCTCATAAATACACAAACCTGGTTAATCCCAGATATTCATAAATTCAGTAATCGATCACACTGGTGCTTTTTCCCTTTCCAGAGAAACATGGGAAAACAATGAAGAACATAACCTAGTAACAAAAAACTTACTTTAGTTTTGACAACAGGTTTGTGGCTTCATCAACAGCAACACTAGCAGCATAAAGCCCCAACTTCTTCACCTATGACAATATCATCAAACAATCATTTATACAAAAGTTAGGACACTTGAAGAGCATGATGCATCACATTTTTCAAGCACATGTCTGTGACCAAAAAGTAGTTTCTTACATTTACAGTTTCATATCAGGGATCAGCAAAATAGTAAGCAGAAAAAGATACCCATCACTTACTTTTAGTCATCAAGTGCCAAATGTTAATCAAGAAACCAGAAAGAACTAACTGATCAAGTCTGATTTCACATTGAAAAAGAGCAGCTTGTCAAATATCACAATCGTTAATACCTACTTCGACTACCATAAATACAGGGCAAAGAATGATGGATGGACAATATCTTGAGTTTGAATCATAGACGCAAAATGTCAAATATGTTTTTTAAGCCAGGTCAAACTCACAGAACACACAAATATCCTGTGGATGAAGATTGAACCAACCAAAAAAGGGAGAACAAGGGGCTAAACATAGAAAACATGGTTCCAGAATGCCAGTGATAACTACAATGCTTAAGCTTTACACTACGCACAATATTAAGTGTCTGTCATTTGACCATAAAAAACTCCAGGATAGCAAAAGATTCTCAGATCAGACAACATTTCCTAATGAGCGCTGCAACACCTGCTATTAATTAATTGAAGAGATGAATGATCCTTCTTACACTTCCTCATAGCAATTGTCTTCTAATTTCCTCAGCAAAGGAATGTACTGTCCAGTTATTTGGCAAAGCTATGATATTGATGTATGGGAAATGTATTAGATAAATCTACTGAAAAGAAAAAGTAAAGGATAGATTATAGAATGTAGAATTGGAATGATGGAGATGCATTAGCATTTCGTTTATATGTTTCAGAAAAGCTTCAGGATAATATCCCCATAGCATCACTGATATTTTGCTTGGGGTCCTACTCTACTAATACTCAGTCAAAATCTTTTTAAGCAGATAGAAGTATCTTCCTATGATTTACTAACGCATAGTGACAGAAAGAGACTGTTGAATTCAGAATGCAAAATAGCATTTGTGCTGTAATATGCATTAATGAATGTACCTCCAATATATCTTCCTTAGATCGGTGGCTTTTGGGTAGCATGCGAAACTCCTCCGTCAAGCGAATACACTCTTGAACATTTTCCGGGGATACAAAGTCAACAGCAACCTTGATACATGACTGCCAAAGTACAATAGCGGTGGATGGATGACAAATCAATACCAAGTGCAGTACATTAAGATGTGAACACAGATAGAAGCAGCAATAAATATTTCATCAATCGAAGTACCAGGAAAATGAGTACTGCAGATACTACATCTCATGTAGCATTAATATTTCTATAAGTGACTTCAAATAGTATTAATTCCAGAACCCGTTGGAGAAAGAAAGAAATTGCAAGGACCTGAGAAGAGCTACACAGTATAAATCCACTTTCAGGAAAATGTTCTAGCCAGAGTCAGATTCAGCTTAGATCAAATTCCAAAAGAAGAGAGCTCAGAGTTTGCTTCAGTCACAAGGCTTCTTAAATTATCAAAGCTCAGATAAAGCATAGTAGACATTTGGCTCGAAGACATGAATCAAATTAAAAATTCTATTACTAGAGCAATGTTGTACTATTTTTAATACTGTCTTATAACATCATCGTCCACTGTCAAACTATAACAGGTTTTAATTTTCTGAAACATGTTCCTTTTTGCATAAATTTGAAGAATATAGTGCTTTTACCCCCAATAAGTTTGAGGTAAAACACCGTGAAATTCAACTGGATAACATAACAAACACACAGGAAATTCAGGTACAACCATACTAAAGATGAAATACAAAACCTCTGATACTTCAAAGTATGCATAGTTAGACTGGGAGTTTCACCTGTCTATTTCTCACTTGATGAGGACATCCTGCAGGAATAAAAACAGCTTCACCAAGGTACTGCTCAAACGTCCATGGCTCAACGTCTGTAGATCACATGAGGGAGAAAGGGTGGGATTAGATACCCTTGCAAAGTCATTACCTACTGTTTTTCAGAATCAACTAAGGAAAAGAGGATTCTTACTGAACTCCTCCTTCAGCTGTTTTTTATGCTTCTCCTCCAAAAAAAATGTCTGATCATGGATAGGGTGAATAACCTAAGAGTGAAAGCAAGGAGTAAATTCAACGATTCAGCACTTTGTACTATCATCAAACTTGAAGTGCAAGAATACTTACTGAAGCCACAGGAGCATTGTTAAAATGGCGAAATTCTCTCCAATGCCTCTGCAAGTATTCTATTAACTTGGGTACATCTTGTCTGCGAAAGATGTCCCATACTGCACCCCCACATTCAATTTCTGCACAATCTTGCTTGATTTCGAGAGCTACATTCGCTTCTGCTAGTGCCAAGGCATTGGTACTTGGGTTTATCTCATTGGGTAGAGAAATTCTGCCAGATATATCATTGTAATCCCTTTCGGAAATTATATTTTCTCCGTTATCAATATCTTTCCCCTTGTCCATGGTTTCTGGCAAGCAACTTTCGTTATCATCAGTGCTTTCCTGAGAATAAAAGTCTTTAGTTTCAGTTTCGTCAGATCTTTGATGAGAATCTGGAGCCTCAGCTATGCCTGGACAACGTTCCTTTGAATCTTCAACCTCTTGTTGCTTCCTTAGTTTCTCAATGATTTCATGTTGCTTGTGATCAACTTTTGCTTTGGTTGTATGAGTCAATATGTTGACCTGAAGAACACACACAAAACCTAGTTGTTTTATTGTTGTAACATGTTAATTGCAAATCACACAGAGGCCATGATAGACTTCTTGAGCTCATTACACAACCTGTACCGAGGCTTTTCCTATGTTAATATTTTGCAGCAGTTTGCTGCTTTTTAGTAACAATAATTTTACAAATCCAAAAAAGAAAAAGAACATACATAAAACTTGAATTGATCAAAAGGTTGATTAGATAAAGTAGCATTGAGAGGAAAACAGTGATGTGTTATTACGAGCTGACGTGCTCCTTCGAATTCCTCAATTCTTTCCTTGGAATTCTGCCCTTACCAACTCCTCAAAATTTTCTTTCTCAAAGAAAAATCCTGCCCTAACCAGCAAGCATATTACTTCTCAAAAAATAAAAATTAATCTAGATTTTCGGTCTTCCCGTTCTGAGGATTGAAAAATCATAAAAAATTTAAGATTTTTATTAATTAATTGAACAATAAGATTTGCTTCCATAAGGCAACTACTGTTCATTTAGGTACGGTATTTCATATTGTTTATCAGTAACATTTAAGACATAATAAAGTACTGTGATTTATACCAAAACAATAAAAAGTACAACTCCAACCTTACACTTGCCTATTGAAGCACAGGCAGTTTCTGATCTCAAGGGGAAATTTGTACTAGAATATCAGTATAGAATTTGGGAAAGGGATGCAAGCCCCATGAAAAGCAAAATAAAATCAGCCAAACAGGAACTTGGAATAAGATTAATCAAACAGTTGTTGGAATGAGCATACCGCATCAGAGATATCACAATGCAACTTAGTGACAGAATCACCTCTCCCAAGCTCTTCTTGATATCCATAAGCAATATACGTTTTAGGTCCCAAGTCTGGCTTCAAGGCAGTATCGGGGAGCTTAGTGGCCAAATTTAGAAGACCTTGTCTAGGATGAGTGTATTCGCTAAACGGAAGCATAGCAAAAAAGTCAGCTCCATGCCTCGGCAAACATTCTTCAAAAGTATTAGCCGGAGGCCAATCCTTCAGTTTTAAAATTTCTGGCCACCCATTGTGATGCCTGCGACCCTCCAAGTAGCCCTTGAAGAACTGATGAATATTTATCTGAACCTGCATCATAAAATAATAATAATAATAATAATAATAATAACAGTAATAATAATAATAATAATAATAATAATAATAATAATAGTAATTAAAATAATAACAGCACAGCAATAACACCAGGATTCATAGTAAGCTAAACCAGCAAATCATGATATCCTAGTAAGGTGCAAATAACAAAGACAAACCAATATAGCAAATTAGCAGTTTAGCACCAACCTACCAGGAAAGGTAATTGCCAATTCTAGACTTCTTTTTTTATATTTTTTTGGATAATTTTCCAATTCTAATCAGGTAATGGAAAATTGCAGTTTTGTCAGCTAGGGTAAAAGACACAAGAGACCAGCTAGGAGATGTTGGAGTAAAATCACGCAAGAGATAATTTCCCAGATTCAAATTCATTTTAGATGAAAAAAAGGTTCAACTGCGGAGTTCAGATTAAAAAGTAGCCATCGTGAACAATGCAATGAAATTTGACGAGAATAAAAATTAGAGAAAATAAATAAGCAACTCATGTTATACATATATAGTAGCTTTAGGACCAAAATTGAGGAAGCATATGATAACTTGAGAACTGATATGCTGTGATTCTGTCTCTTTTTTCCACAAGGGATAATTTACACAAATAAAATGCATACCTGACACCAATCCAAGCAATCAATGGACATGACAGAGAAATGCTCCTCTTTTAGCTTTTTACTTGCTTTTCTGAAGGCCCTCCACATTACCATTGGCTCCCAGCTAAGACCAGAGGCATTAGCTTGTGCATTTCTAACTATTACAGGTTCACCAGCCCTCCAATGCATTTGAAAATGCTCAAACTCGTTACCATCAATGTGAACAGCATTAGGACAGTACAGAAAATTATCGTGGCTGTTGTTCCTAAAAGATGCCTGTCTTACTTGACAGTGGTTATCACCGTTTTGGACAGAAGAGGTAGCAAGACAAAATGAACACCCATGCGACAAATCTATATCTGGAAGGTGGTAGTTGCATGTTAAGGCCTCAGCACTTTGAATTAGTTGGTCTACCCAATTTGCTTTGAAGATACGCCTTAGAGCCATTAAAGAAGAGCCACAACCACCACACTCTTTAGGAGGACAAGGTATACTGCCATCAGATTTGGCTCTCCACTCAGCAACATCAAAGGACATGTGAGTTGGACAATCATTAGCAAGGAGGGTCTCAGGACTTTTCCAGCCATCTGGCGCATCGTTTCCCTTCAATGCTGTGATACGACTAGCTTCCACCGACTTGCTGAGAGGAGCACCATCTCTGAGTTCCCGACAACAATTGACACAGATATCGTATGAGCAATCAGGATTTGGGCAGCTTCTATGGAAATTGACAATGGATGTGTTGCAATTATCACTGCCAAATAAGGAACCATGCATCATTACAGCTATTGTGTCATGACAAAACTGAGCTCTGGAAATAGTAAACATTCTGTGTAAGCTTACATCCTTTCTTCCAGAATAAACAAATAAAAACAAAGAATATGGTCAACAGAAACTACATTTCAAACTAATAAAAGAACTTCTGGAAACTTTGAGCTACTGCAGTCCACAGACACACTACTTTCTTTATGTAATAACCATAGAAAATTAGTGTTCATAAATCAAAAGGTCAAAGAAATTGTTGGGTATCAAAGTAAAAGGTAAAATTATCAGGAGGAATGAACAATGCAGCTTCAAGAAACAGATCATGTAAGCAAAGGCTGCTGGGTTAAAGAACAGATTAGAAACAAAATTGACTTTAACAGAAAGATATTTGAATAATCAATCCCACTGTTTACTCCATGAAGAAACAACTTACATCTTATGCCTCTATGGATGAATAATAACTCATAAAACATTATACATGGTGTATGAGCATAGATAGCACAACAAAAAATCATTATTTTGGGGATCATACCAATACACTCTATCATCATCATCAACGACTGATATGGTGACGTCTTCTTCTGTCAGCTGAACACCTGAAAACAAAAGAGACCAGAAACAGCACTGAACATTCTGAGCCACCAACAACAAGCTAAGTTGAAATTATCCGAATGAATTAAAATAGTACCGCGAATGTTTGCTTCAACCTCTAGCTCAAACCTTTGCTCCTTTTGAATATGCCTGAGGAGGGGCAGAATGTTGAATAGCAAATAAAGTGAACCCTCCAATCTCATATTTTCATCAGTTTCTTTGCAGCAGTCCTGCAACCCTAACAGACCTAGTTATTTTCATACCAACTTGTTGTGTTGCATGAATGACAATTATTTGATTTATCAAAAGAAAAACTAGCCAAGTTATTTAGTAATATCAGCACCTGAACTATAAATACATGATCACACAAGAGGTAAATTTAACTTGTTTACAGACCTTAAAGAAGACATCTTTTTGAAGGCAAGCTCCACAATTGCAATTACCATAACAGAAAGGACATGTGTCCTCTACTTCGTCGTTTGTTCTATCTGGATACCTATTCATTATCTCAACATTTTAGAAAACATTATTAACAACCTCAATTTGAATTAACATAGTTATAACTGTTATAATACTAATGAGCATCTACCATTCACCTATAGGAAGAAAAAACACTGCAGACCAACAAATACAGAATCCTTTCTCTTTTGGTTTGTGAACAAATGAGATAAATTTCATTACCACTTTGCAATGCAGTCGTTGCAATAGCGTTTCCTTCTGCATTTTGAACAGGTAACAACAGAAGCTTTATAATTTCTGCACTGATGACACCAAAAGTTCTGCTGATCCTTCCAAGTAATAGCGTCCTACATATAGATACCTCATTAGGACACAGTTACAAATTTAAGCCCGCATGCTATGTCTGCCACAATATCCCAAACTTGCCTACTACATCAATGCAAATAATTTTAGTAGCACTTGAATCCTCTTTCAAGGAGCACACTCATTTTATGCTTCATGAGTACAGGAGAAGCTTTCTTGTTCAAGCTCAAATTCAAATTATTATAATGACCATCCGTGGCAAATGAATCTATATACTAGTGCTATAACTCGAGCTTTATTAACTCCATGAATAGTGTCAAATATCACTTATTTGAGAAATCGAGCATGAACAAAAGTTGGATTGAGAATTATACGCCAGATATCAGTATGAGGACTCAAATGAGTATGCAAAAAAAAAAACAAGATTCCCCACTTCCCCAAGGAAGTTGGCCTCTTTGTTTTGATATGTCCAGCAGTAACCATTGACTGCTTCACTATGTTAGCATGGAGCCATGGACCATTGATAATAAGAACTGTTTCCTCTAAAATCTCGTCTCACATGAATCTAACTACCAACAAAAGATTGATTGAAAGATGAGCAGGTTTCATAAATGGCAGGAGGCAATTTGTAGTATACAGTTAGCGATGGTAACCCAAAAACTTTCTAAGTCTCTAATTGCAATGAGAATCAAAAAATTCTGATCAAATATAACTTCAATTTGCAGCTCTTAAGTTTTATTTATATTTGACTTTTTAGCTTCAGGTTTTTACAAATAAAATTCCATACAAATCATAACAAGAAGACAGATAGGTTTGGGAAGAAGAGATCCTGACCAATACTCCTTGCACTGTCAGTCCACTTGTTTCTGCATTTGCACTAAGTTCCTGCTCTCCCATGCATTCAGAGACGATAGAAATTTTCTTCTTATCATTTAAACCCTTCGGCCTCCCTCTGCGCTTAACCATCTTACTAACAGCATTCTGACAACTAACTTGACAAGGAAACCCCATATTGAAAGCGACTGCCTTTTTCTTGTTCTTTGAACCTTTTGGTCTCCCGCTGCTAACTTTCCTCTTACTGACCCGACCTCCCAAAGCATCCAATAAAACAGATTCATCTAATATTCCCCCATTTTCAGTGGCAAAAGGAAGCATGCCACAGTGTTTCACTTTCTGCTCAGCTTGACTACCTCCTCCGTCATCATGCACTATAATTGCTCCGGCAGTTTTATTATTTTCTTCACTCATAATTTTTGATTTCTTATTTTTTGAGCCTTTAGGTCGTCCACGTCCATTCTTTCGCTTTATGCTCAAATTTACCCCATTAGTAACAGTAACAATTACACCTGTCATTCTTTTGTTTTTCAAGCCCTTTGGCCTCCCTCGCCTTACTGCAGCTTGTTTCTTATTCTCTGAACTTTTCACCCTTCCTCGGCATCTCTTCTTCTTAACCATCTTTCTGGTGCCATCTTCAGCAGCATCAACAAATGCATGCTGATTCTCGCCAGATTCAACAATCTTATTCTCATTACGCAAGCCTTGGGGCATGCTGCAGCTATCCATCTTAGTAATAGTAACTTCACTCAGTATCCCCACCATGTGATCAGTTGTCAGGCTCACCATTTTATTCTCATATTCCTTACTGCTATTCATCGCTCCAACTCCATGACCAGAATAAACATCACTGGAGCTGCTTATAATAGTTTTCTTTTTATTCTTTGAACCCTTTGGCCGGCCAAGGACACCCTTCCTCTTGACTACTCTAACTGCAGAAACCAAAGCAACTTCATTCAGGTCTCCCTTATTTTCTTCAGATAAAAGCATTCCATTTTCAGCCACATTTAACCTCATAGTACCCACATCTTGTTCTCTATTATTGAGATTAGCATCTGCGAAATTACCGCCAGTAGTTCTCTTCTTACTTTTAGAGGCCTTGGGCAGGCCACGCCTCTCCTTCTTGAATATCCTCTCTCCATTACTGGTAGCTATTCCATTGCCCCCACCTTCTCCAGCTACAAATTTTCTCTTTCCATCATCTTCCTTCCTGACTGCATCCATGTCTCCATCATTAGTATTAGTACCACTCGAATGGCCTGGTATAACTTTGCTCTTGGTCCTTGAACCTCTGGATCTGCCACACCTGTCCTTCTTCTTGACTATCATCCCTTGTTCCTCATTCAGAATTACTCCATTTTGACCAGCCATTGTGATTCTTTTCTCATTCTCGCCTTGGCACATAACATCTACTTCATGTCCACTAGTAGCATTACTCATATAGCCTAATGTGATTTTCTTCTTAGTCTTTGAACCCCTGGGCCGACCTCGCTTGACTATATGTTTTTTGTAACCCACAACAAAATCGTCCAGTTTCCCAGCATTTTCTGCAGGCATAAAAATCTTCCCTTTATTGCTATCAATATCCTTGCTTCCACCTCCATTGCAACTAGGAACAGTCAGACGACCTACCAAGACTTTCTTCTTGTTCCTGGAGCCCTTGGGCCGACCAATTTTCTTCTTGACAATCTCATTGTGTCCAGAAACTTGATTTGCGCTTATTCCAAAATCACCAGTTGTACAGATTTCCTTCTCAACAACATCTGTATTTCTCTTTCCAACACTAGTATCATCTATTAGTAACACTACCCCCATTTCATTACCAGTCACAGTTTTCTTCTCACTCTTTGAACCCTTTGGCCTTCCTCGACCTCGCTTCTTGATACTCCCTTCTTCTCCACAATCCTTCCTCCTTTCCTCACCTTCCTTCTTGGTTCTCCTTACCTGATGCTCCCTGTTTTGTTCCATATTTTTCTTTTCGCTCTTAGAACCTTTGTGCCTTTGTCCAACATTCTTCTTCTTCTTCATAAGCATCACATCACTGTCATTGCCTATGCCAGCTGCACTTGGTGATTCCCCATTTTCTCCAGCCTTTCTCTTCTTATTCTTGGAGCCCTTCGGCCTGCCTAGTCGCTTATTCTTCTTCTTCATAAGAACCCCTTCTCCATCCATCATGCTAACTGTACCTGAAATTCCCACATTTTCTTCACCACTTCTTCTGTTATTCTTGTAACCCTTCGGCCTGCCTAGTCGCATCTTCTTCTTCATAAGAAACCCTTCTCTACTGCCATCCATCACACTAACTGTACCTGAAATTCCCCCATCTTCTTCACCACTTCTCCTGCTATTCTTGGAACCCTTTGGCCTGTCTAGTCTATTCTTCTTCTTCATAAGAACCCTTTGTCCACTGCCATCCATCACACTAGCTGTACCTGAAGTTCCCACATTTTCTTCCACACTTCTCCTGTTATTCTTAGAACCCTTTGGTCTTCCCCTTTTCTTTGAACTTATCACACTAGCATTAGCTACTACATTTTCCATAAAAGGTACCAAAACTTGCTGACCATAAAAACTCCCCTGCTTCTGATTCAGGTCTTCCATAACCTTGTCATCAACCATCAAAATTGAATCTTGACAGGAAACAGAACAACCCTCCAACCTACTGATGAACAAAACTCAAACTTTGGTCATCATTGGACACCCTTTTCATGTCTTTTCTTGATTTTGTTTCTGTATTTAACATAAACCCTAAAAAAAATCACCTACAGAATTCAACTTCCCAAGAAAAGAGAACCCCACAAAAAAAAATTCAGCCTTTGAAGAAACTAATGAATAAAGGGACCACAAGGGGAATTCATAGAGGAGTAATGCCGCTGTTTCCTTTGGAACAAGACCAAGGACTCACCTCTCCTTTGGACTTCTGTTTGCTTTGTTCTTCTTTCCTTTTTTTCAGCTGCCGAATAGAGTGTTGAAGCATACAATAGCAAAACTGACTGACTAATTGGGGTAGCTGACTTTATCGATTTGTTGTTTCTGGGAAAAGATTACTAGTGAAGCCATTGGACTAAAATTGGGAAGCCTGGATTTGTTGAGTTGTTTTTCTCCAATGTACATGTTCTCATGGATTTTTAAAAACATTGCATCATCAAGTTAATGTGATATGATTTCAATTTGTGTATAAGGTAAGTAATATTTATGATTGGTTTTGACTTTTAATTTCGAGAAATATGACTCCAATTTTGTCGTATTATACGAAATGAGTGAAAAAAAGTAGATTGACGTAAGTGCTACTTATTATATGTTTGACTTCAACTTCGAGAAATATGACTCTAATTTTATCGTATTATGTAAAATGAATGGGAAGAAGTAGATCAATGTAAGTGACAGTTATGATTTGTTTGACTTTGACGTCGAGCAATATGACTTCAATTTTAACGTATTATATGAAATGAGTGGGAAGAAGTGGATCAAATTAATGTGATACGATTTCAATTTCTGTGTAAGGTAAGTAATATTTATGATTGGTCTAACTTTTAATTTCGAGAAATACGACTCCAATTTTGTCGTTTATATGAAATGAGTGGGAAGAAGTGAATCAATATAAATGATAACTATGATTTTGTTTGACTTAACTTCGAGAAATATAACTTCAATTTTGTCGTATTATACGAAATGAGTGAAAAAAAGTAGATTGACATAAGTGCTACTTATTATTTGCTTGACTTCAATTTCGAAGAAATATGACTCTAATTTTATCGTATTATGTGAAATGAATGGGAGGAAGTAGATCAATGTAAGTGACCGTTAGGATTTGTTTGACTTTGACTTCGAGAAATATGACTTCAATTTTAACGTATTATACGAAATGAGTGGGAAGAAGTGGATCAAATTAATGTGATAGGATTTCAATTTGTGTGTAACGTAAGTAATATTTATGATTGGTCTAACTTTTAATTTCGAGAAATATGACTCCAATTTTGTCGTTTATATGAAACGGGTGGGAAGAAGTGAATCGATATAAATGATAATTATGATTCTGTTTGACTTACCTTCAAGAAATATAACTTCAATTTTATCGTATTATACGAAATGAGTGAAAAAGTAGATTGACATAAGTGCTACTTATTATTTGTTTGACTTCAACTTCGAGAAAGATGACTCTAATTTTATCGTATCATGTGAAATGAATGGGAAGAAGTAGATCAATGTAAGTGACAGTTATGATTTGTTTGACTTTGACTTCGAGAAATATGACTTCAATTTTATCGTATTATACTAAATGAGTGGGAAGAAGTGAATCAAATTAATGTGAAACGATTTTAATTTGTGTGTAAGATAAGTAATAATTATGATAATTACGATTTTGTTTGACTTAACTTCGAGAAATATGACTCCAATTTTGTCGTATTATACGAAATGGTGAGAAAAAGTGAATAGATGCAAGTGATAATTATAATTTGTTTGACTTTGACTTCAACTTCAAGAAATATGACTCTAATTTTATTGTATTATACTAAATGAGTGAGAAGAATAGGATCAAATTAATGTCATATGATTTAAATTTGTGTGTAATGTCAAATTAAATTCGTGTATAAGAGTAATATATATGAATATTGTATGTAATTTAATTAATTAATTCTTTAAGTTATTCACTATTTTGATATACTTTTATGAATATTGAATATGATTTTTTTTGAAAATTCATATTAAATATCATAATGTTGAACTCATACTTCTAAATTTTCTAGTAATTTAATATTTACCAAAGTATATACATCCTTACATTTTTCGTCCAAAAAAGTTATCTATTATTTGCTAAGTAAAAATCATTTTGCAGTTGATTGAAAATAACAATACATATTTATTGGTGAAGATTGTAGACTTTGCTTTAATATTTGAAAATTGTAAATATATTCAATTTATGCCCAAAAACTGTAACTTAGTGGTTCCATGGTCTAGTGGTCAGGAGATTGGACTCTGAATCCAGTAACCCGAGTTCAAGTCTCGGTGGAACCTTTCTTTTTATATGTTTTTTTTTGTTTGTTTTGCAAATAATACTGTCCATATTTCTATTTGTTCGGAATAATTTTACTATATCACTCCAAAATTGTTCACTATCTCTTGATTTTCCAAACTTGACAAGTAAAATTGGCCAACTATTTTTAATATACTTGACAAGTAAAAATGTATGGAGGAAGTTATCAAGTTGCTCGTACTTGAAAATTCATGAGTTTTTATTTACTACCATGTGGTGATAATAACCCCAAACTTTTTTTTGAACATAAGCATAGCCAGTTTGTCAACTGAAACTAGATATCAATAACCAATAGCAGGGGGATGCAAGTTGCAATACGGTTCAACCTTAAGCGTCAAGCGAAAGTTCAATAACTAATACGATGCTGTACATTGATAGAACATTTTCTGTATATCTGTTCCGAATGAACGAACTACCACTCATCTATGAAAATTCACCTAAACATGAATCAGATTGGCATAAGCCTGCACCTAATGCTGAAATTGACCCAAACAAGGATGACATTGAACTGCACATATTATCCAAGAGGTCATTATCCAGAATATAAATTAAAAGCAGGAGCTTTAAATCAACTGATAAAACATCCATCTGTCTAATGTAGAAATGGTCTCAAAGTTCCCACACAATCATGATATCGGAGTTGACCGCTCCCCTCCTGCTGGAAACTGAGGCTGCATAGACGGAGACAATAGGTCATACATTGAGAGCAAAACTTCATAAGGTACAACAACTGGTAAATAATACATCCTGTCAAAAAAGAAGTGTAAACTGATATCCTCTTTTTCATTTTATAAGGACGGATAACTTTATTTACAAAGATAGCAGTGAAGGAGAAATATGTAGGTAGAGTATTGACTACATTTCTTACATCTCTGTAATGGATTCTATGAAGAGTTAAAATCATCTTGCATTTTATGCCTAAAAGCTTACAACAATGTGGAATCTACAAGGTCCATCAGAGTCAAAATCATATTATACATCTGTCTTGCATGAGGGATGTAAGATAGACTAGGTGCTTTTTCTCCACTCGTGAAGGTTCACATCTAGCTATCAAGGATAAGGAAGCAAAGGTAGAGTCCTTTAATATTATGTCTGTCATTTTGTGAGACTATCTCCACTATAGAAAGAAAAAAAAGGAAAGAATAACATTTTCAGCACACTTATACAAATAAGCCTTTATCAGTATTATAATAGCATAAGTAGTCAACGTTTCCAAACAGGGTTTTTGCCATACATGCAAACATAATTAATAAAACCAAACAAAATAGTTGGCATAGCGCGCTTAAGCCCTGAAGCGAGACTCAATACGTGTTGAGCGTTTCACCTTCAGTGTCATCATCAAGATTCTAAGGCATACTTTTCCTCGTCAATGAACCTCTAATGACACTAAACAATTGATATTTCACTTTATCGTTTTTTTTTTTCAATTTCTTTGTTTTTTGATTTGTTATTCGTACTTATAATTATTAGTCTTGAACTAAGCATATATATAATTATATTTTTTTCTCTCTTTGCAGCATTTTGCATTAAAGCCCATGCTCTATTTGCACTTTGCGCTAAAGCGCCAATGGACCTTAGAACTTTTTTGCGCTTTTTGCTTTTGATAACATTGAGCATAGATAGGAGTCTATCTTCAGCAGGCATCGTAATAGATCTCCACTAAAAGAAGACAAAGAACACCCTAAATTAAAACACACTACTTTGCATCCACATTAATTTAAGCCTTCTAAAACAACAAATAGTCGACATACTCTTCTATTCTAGGAATACGAAGCTATGGGGGCGACCCACACAGTTAGTTCCCTTCATTTGTGGAGGAGAGACTCATTCCTCTCTTCCACACCGCGAGTGTGGTTCCAAGTTTGTTGCATCATATTTGCAATGATCTCAGAACTCTGATTGCAGCTTCTCCTCTTCTACTCTCGAGATATCTTGAAGTCCTAGAAAAGAATCCATGGCTACACTCAATTTGTTTTGAGTTAGCTAGTTAAGGTGAAAGGAATTTAGGAAATGAATAGTAGGGAACGTCCTTGATAGGAATTCTGAGTAACTTTTTGGGTGAAGCTTATTTCCTGTAGGAGCCCCTTGGACCTTAGCCTCTTAAGGGTAAAAGTGGTGGCCTGGTTGTCCCCACCCTCCCTTATCATGAGTGTATGTGGGAGCAGTTTGTGTTAGCGTTTTGGTGCTTGCCTTATAGTTCTCAGTCCTCTTAGGCCAAGATGCCTTTTAAAAAGATTTTCTCCCAAATCAAAACAAGACCGACTATACTAATTTTTCCAATCAAGTGCGGATGGGATTCCCCAATAGATTCTACATATTCGGCATTTGCATTCTACGGTAAAAAGCTAGGTTTCACAAACACGTACAGTTTATACTATGTAGTATCGCTATGTTCGTCATTTGAAACAACTCCAATTTCTTCTTTACAAACAGTCCAGGTAATACACCAGGGACCTGAGGGACCTGTTATCCAGATCTTCCTAAATTGCATCCTTAATATACTTAGTCTTCATTTGGTACCCTTAACAGTTAACATATATTCCACTCATTTCTTCAATATTTTCTCTCTCATGAATTCTTACCACTATTACTAGGAGATCAAAACATTATGCAGAAAACAGTCTTTCGACCCTAAAAGCTTAGAACAGACACATTTGATGCAGGGATCGGGGAAAACATCGCAACAGATTGACTATTTAATACCAGAACTACTAAATTTTTTATTTATCCATGTCTCCTCTTGTAGCAAATTACTTAAGCAGAAGTGCACATAAATTAGACCATTCTTTTACAGTAAGTTCTGCAAAAGATCCTTCCCAAGCTCATCATTTGTCTTGCCTAACAATGTCCAAAATTTCAGATATTGCTACTAGAGGACTCCAATTACAAGGAAGCAACTATGTAGATGCCAAACCTACGTGCACAAAGTTTTGCACTTGTCATCCCTGACTAGCTTTTAATGTTGGGTGGAAGGACATTGCTAACAAGATAGGCAGATTCATAAATGCCTCTCTACCATCGACATTCAATTCAAGATTGACAAACAAAGACATTCCCTATTCAGAGGCTATCAGGAACAGTAAGTGGGGAAATAGGAAA